ACACATTTCATTACACCAAATACACAACATAATGTTTTTTTTAGCAGCATCATATGACCCCTTTAAATAAACCTGTTCTTTGTTGCTTTCTTTAGCTGGGGGTCTGCCAATCATTGGACTACCTGTTGAATCCTCACTGACAAACTGTGTGTGTGTGTGTGTGTGTGTGTGTGTGCGCATGTGTGGTAATCAATAATACTGTATAGTGTAAACTTTAGTCAGAGCTAAAGTTTAATAATGACTCTGGACCCTTCTCGTGTGCTCTATCAAGAATTTGAACCACTTCCATCCAGTAAATGTTTCCTCACTCCCAGGTTTAGATAAATATGCTATAAAAACTGCATTGTTCCTTCAGCTACAAGACTTTTGAATTCTAGTGTAAAGGACATGACTGTGTGAATGTTATTGATGTGGTTATCTTGTTATGCAGCTTCATATTGCCCAAAACAAATTTCCCTTAAAAGGGACAATAAAATATCATCAATCAATCGGTAAGTGTTTGGTTGTCAACATTCCCAATCTGCTGTTATGCTTGTCCATACCCACACATTCACCATCCCATTCCACCCAATGTGCTGCCCAATGTCAGATGTAAGTACTGTGTATATTTTATTTAGTTTGTGTACCTTTTTCTTTGAAGTCTCCAGTGATATAAATGACACTGGTAAAAATATGTGGGCTTTCCTTGTACTTTGTGGCAATGACTCTTTCAGTTGAAATTATTGACTTACTCTGGTCTGGAAGATCTTGATCTCATGAAGTTTACCTTTACATTTTGAGGCCTTCAATGATGAACTGGTGATTAAAAATAATATTTAAAATATTTATCCTGTAGATCCTCCAGTGAAACCAGTGATCTTCATCAGTCCATCTGGAGAAATAGTAGAGGGGGATTCAGTGACTCTGAGCTGCAGCAGTTGTTCATACCATCCTGCACAAATCAGCTGGTTTAAAGGAGGAACATATCTGAATTATGGACAGACATACAGCATCTCAAAGATCAACTCTGATCATAGTGGAGAATACAAGTGCAGATCCATCAATGGACATGGAGAGAAATACTCTGATGCTGTGACTTTAAACGTCATGTGTGAGTTAATGATCATCAGCACACAATTTTTTTATTTTTTTATTGTGAATTTTCATGTTTGCTTGTTTGCTTTTTAGACCCACCCAGGAGCGTCTCAGTGTCCGTCATTCCATATGGTGAAATAGTGGAGGGAGATTTAGTGACTCTGAGCTGCAGCAGTGATTCAAACCCTCCTGCAGAAAT